TATGAGAAAATTAACAAGTGGACTTGCTAATGAACCAGGAAGGATGAGCATCAGCTCCTCAGGCCCTGGTGGCAGTTTGGTCAAAGCTGGCCTGGCGGAGCGAGTGCATGGAGGAGTCTGAGAATCTGGGCCCCTTTCCTGTGAGGAAAGAGCTGGGCAAATTCATATTCTTTTATAGTGAAAACAGTCTAAATTCAGATATGAAAGCCTCCATTATGATGTTCCCTGGCACTCTTCTTACACTTTATATTGAAGGCAGCTCCCTCTTTTATGGCCAGTTTTAGCAGGCAAAGAAAACAGGAATATAGATACATATATGTGTGTATATATATATATTTTATATAGGTAAAATATATACATATTTTATATATGTATATATACATATCTGGGGATAGGGAAAGGACAAGGAGGGTCATGTAAACCTAAACAGTCATCACATTACCCCAAATGAGCCTGACGTTAACAAAAAGATAATAAATAACTCCTAGGGGCTAAGTGACAACATGGGTGCAGCAAGAAGGGAACGGGCACACACTGAACTATTAAATACACTTCGATATTTGTTTGGCAGAGTCCAGGCTTCTGCACTTGCCAGACAAGTAAGCTGATGATACTCAAAGAATTAAAAAAAAAAATTCAAGCAGAGCTCCATACCACAGTTTTCTTTCAAGTCAGCTGGCCGGCAGGCAGTTTTCCGACCACTAGGAACAGAAACTTTGGCTCCGAGGCAAATGAAAAAAAGAAGGTATTTCCACTTAAAACATGAAAATATAGAAACTTCATCAAAGAAAGAAAAATATCGAAGAAGTCTACTTCCAGCAAAACTGAGGTAGCACTGCTTTCTCTGCACTCAATGCTTAAGTGGTTCTCAGTACAATGTGTTCTAAAAAACAAAACAGAACTGCTCACTTGACTGACAGGTGCAGCATGTTGATGGATAAACTCAACACGAGATGCAATAGGTCAAAGAAGGAATGAGCAAGAAGTGAGGGAAATAAGGGTTTTGGATAAATTAGCTTAAAAGGGGGTTGTCACCAGACTGTAAATGCTCTTGACCGGCCTTGGCTCTCCAAGAGCTCCAAATCGTCTGGGAATTAATGCAATGTGGTTAACATTAACACTGCTATTCAAATCTGTGTAAATCTTTAAAAATAATTATTACAACCTAAATTCAATCATGTAAACAGCACTACACACAGTACAGACCTGCCCTGAAAAACAATATGCAAAACTGAGATCTGGCACTGTATCATTTTGTAATGTTAAGTCAACCTAACAGTCCCATTCTCCCCACCCGGCTCTACATCCTCCCCCACCAAAAAGAAAAAAGAACAAAATCTAATTTTGTGCAAGAAATGGCAGGCATATTCTAGCTGAAGGCTTAAAAAAAAAAAAAAAAAAAAAGCACAACATGTAGTCAGGTTCAAATATTTTGAGGGATACTCCCCAAAAGAAACAAGCAAAATAACCAAAAAATGAAGAAAGTGCCTAAAACATGATACAGCATTTTAGAGCCCTTTCAGATACAAGGCAGAGAAAGGTGTAGAGTAGAAAATATCCGGATCTTCAGTCACGTCCACAAAGGTCCAACTCCTTGCTTGCCTGCAGGGCAGCGGGCAGACCCTTGCAGCTGCTCCGGGACAGAGCACTAAGTCTGCTCCTCAGGACATAAGCCCTCGGGCCCTGAGCTGAGTGCACCTCTCCCTTCCCCTTCTTTTCTCCTCCGTTCCATTTCCCACTCCACAAAGGTATCGAAGAGACTTGGCCAGGCCTCATCTTCACTGTAGTTGCTGAGGTCAGGACCAATCACCTGAGTGAAGTTAAGGAACATGTTCCAAGTGTCCCGGGAGATGCCCTTAATCCCCGAGGGGTTCTCTGTTAAGAAGTTTAGCCACTGGCCCAATACAGGAGGATTGTTCTGGGTAAAGACTAGTTTCCACAGGGCAATGGCTATTTCTCGATGCAGTGACCGCTGCCCTTCTTCAGAGTCCAGGCCAAACTGAAATGTAAACCGGTAGAGATCCTTGAATTTATCCTCTTGTTTGGCTTCAGTCAAGAGGCTAGGGAAACGTGCACAGATCCCGTCAATGCTGTCTGCACTTATTGCTTTGCAGCCATCAAAAAATTCCTTCCTGCAACAGGAAGGAAGGGGCAAAATTAGTAAATTATAAATTATATTATTTAGTGAGAGACAATAGACTATAGAGATTAAGAGCATGGCTTTGAGGCCCTCAGGCCTGAATTGGAATTCCAACTCCTCTACTAAGTAGTCCTATGTCCTTGTCTGTCACACAGTGAGAACACTACCTTACTGAGTAGGGTTCGGTGAGGACTAAATTAATACAGTATTAAGTCCTTCTATGTTTGACACATGGTGGGGAGTTCATAATGGTTCATTCATTTATTCATTCATCTTCCAAACTAAACTCAAGTCTCCTGCTCTGTGGCCTGCTGATTTCTACCCTGCGTAGTGATTAAGCTGTACTTTCTCCTCCCAGTTTGATTCTCTATGGGTTGTTTTTGGTATATTTTTGGTGACTGCGAAGGAAGTCTTAGAGCCAAAGATGGTGTATAAACGTTGCCAACTCTACCACCAGAGATGAGAGTTCTGTTATTAAAAAGCAAAAGTTACACTATATATTTTTAACACCTATATAACTCTTCCAGCTTGAAGTCTCAAGAGATGTAAGGTAAGAGTTCTGCAGGGTAACCTATTCAGGGGGACACATAAACTACAAACTGTTCAGCTGCGTCTCAAAGGCAGTTCTTATTCATAACCCTGTGCTCTGCAGGCCACATCTTGGGATTACCCTGCTGTGCCATCACTCACAAACAACCTCAGTTAGGATGCATGACCACAAAAGTATGCAGAGCTACTGCTTGATAGCCTGGCTGATGTAAGCAGTAGAAGGAACTGGCTTCACAGAGTGACATCCTTAAAAGAGCTTTTGGTGTAAAAATGAGTTATTTATTATCTTGGATACTCCCCAAGACCACTGTATTGGAGTGTTCAGTGCCTTTGCACATGATAGGTATAAAATAAATACCAAGTAAGGAGTTACAAAAAAAGGTCTGAAAAAGCAGTGGAGCTGAGCAGCAAAGCTTGGCAATATGGCTCATTCTATACTGTTCCTCATTTAACTTCAGGGTAAGACGTTTGGTGCCCAGATACTTGCAAGCTGCCTGGCAATGCTACAATATACAGTATACTTCAAATCTGATCTAAAATTTAGGCAAAGGTGCTGTCCCGTGAAAGGAAATGCACGGTATATCAGAAACAGGAAGCTTTATAAAAA